TTCCCGTGGTGGCGATGGCTTCTTGCAGCACGTGACCCGCTGTTTGCCGTCGCTGGAGACAAGGAGGCCTTCAGGGCTGGAGAGGGAATTCAAAGAAAAATTTCCATTTGGAAGGTGGATCTATGGGATCTTCCCACCCCAGCCCCAGGCTTCTGAGAGTGAAGGATCCCAGAGGGAAAGTTTCTGATCGAGTCTTTGGCAGTTCCTGAATCCTTCTCTTGTTTAGCTAGAAATCCGAGCTCCTTGTCAGGCTCCCCTCCTGTGCCCTTCCCTCCTGCCCCCCACTGCCTACCGCCTGCTCCCCACATGCCAGCTCCCAAAGGCTGGGGCCAACCTCTGGTGAGGCAGTTTTTCCACTCTGGCTTCAAAAAGGTTGCAAAACCCTGGCCCTTACCTGAAGGTCCACACCGCCCCCTGGTGGTCCTCCGATGCCCAGCCACCCTGTCGGGCACAGTAGAACCTTCGGCCCTGTGTCTGAGGCTGAAAGTCCAGAAAATCTTTCCGGGAGTAGAAATCTTTCTGGGAGTAGAAAGCCTCACTTTCCTTCTGAGGAGGGGCTGGTGGAGTTGAACTCCTCACCTTGTGGTTAGCAGCCCAACGCATAGCCCGCCGCCACCAGGGCACCTCACGCTGGAAGCAGCTTTGGAAATAAATGTCTGGAAGTCAGACCGAGGTCTCGAGCCCCCCACCCCACCCCACTCCCGGCCCCCACCTTTAACCACCCAAACTTCTCTCTTTAAAAAGTTTTGTGGCGGTTTAGGTCAAAGTTTACCGAGCGGATGAGCTTCCCACTAGGCGGGGGGGCACCCACTGTGTTTTGTGACAGTAGTTTCTTGCCCCTCAGGGTGACAGCAGCTCCTCCCGACCCCTCCCTGCGCTACGTTTCCATGCTCCCTGCCTCTGGCCCTATCCTGTGCTCTGGGCTGTGTTTAGGGCAGAATCTCCTGTGATGAGTTGCTCTCAGGAGCTCATTGCTCACAAGTTCATTCTATAGGTCTGTCTGTCCCCCTGTTGTTTACGGAGCCCTGGTGGCACCAGGGGCTAAGCATTGGATTACTTGCTAGTGGCAGAGTCTGTGGTTCAAACCCACTAGCCACTCTGTGGGAGAAAGCCGAGGCTGTGTCCGGGGGCAGTGTCCGAGGTCCGGCTGACAGGGTGGCCAGCAGTGGGGATCAATGGCAGTAGGTGGTCCTTTGTTTAGCTGCAGGTGATCTCCATAGGTGGGTGCAGTTCCAGGTCCGAAGGTTGTCTCAGGGCCTCCGTCTCGGGCTTTCCACCCATCACCGTCAAACCCGTCTGCATTGGAATTTTAGCCTACGTTTTCCCCCTGCTCTCCCCACCCTCCTCTGTTGTCGTCCGGTCAGCCTGGGGCGCCTTCTTCACGCGTTGTGAGGTTTCCTCTTGGCTAACAGAACTCTGGACACACAGCAAAGGGTTCCCCTGGCTTTAAGACACACACACACATTTCTGTCAGCCTGCGTGAGATTGTAAGAGGTCCCAAAGTGTGGCGTTTTTGTGGACTCTGGGAGGCTTAGCTTTGGCGAATGGGGGGTTTATAGCAAGCTTCTTTGTCCTGCTGGATGCGGAATGCCCCCTCCTGCCACCTACGAGGCTGCCCGAGCAGCCAGGACACTAGACCGGCAGCTGCTCGGCTGTGTCCAGACGAGGAGGAAAGGGTGGGGAGAGAGGCTGCCATGTGGTGGCCGGCGGCAAACTCGAGCCAGCCTTCCGTTGGGATGCTTTCCCTCTGAGCACGCGGCCAGGGTCAAGACGGTTGAGTTCTGGGGTCGCAGGGGCCGCACTTGGTTCTGAGAGCCGGAATGGGCAGCCAAATGTGAGCTTCTCCCCACCCCACCCCCACCACCTCCCAGATTTTTGGATTCCTGGTCTGCATGGGAGTGATCCTGGCCATTGGCAATGCCATCTGGGAGCACGAGGTCGGGATGCGCTTCCAGGTCTACCTGCCCTGGGACGAGGCGGTGGACAGTGCCTTCTTCTCCGGCTTCCTCTCCTTCTGGTCCTACATCATCATCCTCAACACCGTCGTGCCCATCTCCCTCTATGTCAGGTAGGTGCCTTCTCCACCCGGCAGGCTTCTCGGCACAGTTTCCGGCGGCGCATTGGGCAGTGTCAGCGGCTCGGCTCATTCCACGCGCGCGGTGTGGTGTGCCTGCGGGGTGCCGGGATGCGTGGTGGGTGCCGTGCGTGGCGAGTACGGCAGCAGCTTGTTAGAAGTGGGCCTTGTTCCCTTCCGGAGCTTCGGCTCCAGGAAGGAAAGTCCAGACGCTGGGAAACCCCCAAAGCGGGAGGCATGCTGCAGGAACCACTGTATGCAGGGGACACAGCATCACAGGGCCTCTGAGTTCAGGCGCCGGGCCAGGCAGGGCCAGGGAGAGTGGGGAGGAGCCTGGTGGGCGAGACTACCCTCCTGGTTAATCATGGAGGACGTTGCCGAGGAGGGGCCTGGCCTTGAGCTGAGCTTAGAGGGACGGGTTGGGTGATGGTGGAGCTGGGAGAGAGGGCTCGAAGCAACGCCACATGGCTCCGGGGACGGGCTGGCAGGAGGATAGGCCAGGGGTTGGCAAACTTTTGGGACGGGAGAAAGCAGTCCTGCCCCTCACAACAATTTAAAAATTGTTCGAAAGCTGTTACATGTATCTCTACAAACAGATGCGATCACCATTATCTGGATAATAGCCTTTAAACATTCTATACTTGAAAGTATGATAGCGATGTTTTCATTTTCAGTCGTACTGTATGTAGCAGAAGAACCACTGAGCTGGAGCGTTTGCTGACCCCTGGGCTAGGCAAAGCCCGGGCAGCTGGGGGAGCCTGGAGATGTTCGCACATGAGAGGCTTTACTTAAATGCGTGAGGGGCACTTAGCGGC